AACTTATATAATGGACAAAAAGGATAAACAAAATGCCCAGTCAGTATGGACCAAAATCTCTTCGTGGTACAGAAGGGGCGTCAGGGGAGAGACAAGGTTTAAAGGACGAAAGCCAAACTCTAACCTTATTCTACCGCAGCAAGTTTGTGAGTTGCAATAAAAGGCATGGCAGGGTGCATGAGCTAAATAATTTGTAGAGCGTCAATAGGGGCAAAGGGGTGACTTCTAGGAGGCAGTTGAGAAAAAGAAGAAGCGATCGCTCGAACATGCAGTTTTTTCGCTTAACATTTCGGATTCTCGCTCGAACCCAACACCAGAGACAGTCGCGTCCGATAATTAACAACTCGGACACGGATTAATAAGCCTCAACTACGACCCCCAGCGATCAGCGACAGATCGACTACTCGGATTAGACACGTGGTTACATGAGAACTGAGTCCTATAAATACTGCACTCCTTGCGTCTTTATCACTCTTATCTGCGACTGTGTCGAATGATGGGTTCGAATGAGAATCCGAAACGTCAGGACAATACATTTTACGTTCCAGCTATCGCATCTTCTACTTCTGAGCTTATAGGAGGCTGGCTGTGGGCAGCAACGTCCGAGGACTTCTAGTTCGAAGGATTACATATTTTAAATTTTACAGTAATGGCTAACAGCATTTGCAAGCAAATTCAAGTTCAAAAGGAGTTAAAAACAAGCACTAAGACCCGCCCAGCAAAACACCTCTTTCTTTCAGTCGAAGTAGGTTAGGCTGAAAGAACATGAAACAAGCAAAAACAGGGAGGTTGGAGATACCCAAACTTACTCGGTGAAGGTATATCCAAGGGACGGTCAAATATCAGCATCCACACCATCCGAATAACCCCAAGAAGAAACAGCCTTGTAGCGAGGTAGAACCAGAGGAAGATGAGCACTAATCCCACCCATACGCGGGCCTGTGTAGAAAGTAGTTGGGATGAAACACTTGCAATCGAGCGAAGGTATTTGGGGGGTGATTCGTGCATAATATCACACGCAGAATGACGCCTATATGCGTACAGTATGTCTACGAATTCGTGCAACGGTCATGACGAAATTTGACTTGGTAATTTGGTATATATTTGGCCATGTTATTTTGAACCACTGAGTGGAATTAATCCTGAGAAAGCTTTTTA